CGGGCCTGGCCGGCCTCCCGGCGCTCACCGGCCTCAATCACGTGGCCTCCATGTCTGAAGCCAACAACTAGGCTGGTCCTGTCTGCCCCAGTCCAGCTGCCCCGGCCTCTCTCCCAGCAGGCCCACCTGCCCCATCCAGCGGATCGGAACTTATTCCAAAATCACAAGAAAGAAATGAAATATATGTCAGCAGCAATGGTATTTCCTGGGCCTCCTGAAGCAGCTGCCTCCCTTTTGCTTCTGTCTGAGATGGGCATCTCCCCTCAGCGGGGCCAGCCTCTCCCTGACTGTCTGGCTCTCACACAGGACTCACAGGGTCCCAGCCTCAAAGGAGGAGGAGGCCCCACGCTGGGTGCCCCAAGCACTCCCGAGCTGTGCCTGCAGGGAGGAGGCTGGGCCAGAGGCAAACCAGATGCAGCAGAGATGAGGGGAGGGGCCTGGGCACACCCCTGGTTGAGCCCCACAGCCGAAGCAGAGTCCCTGCAGACACTGCTCTGGTGGGTCCTATTGGCAGGGAGGCCTCCTGGAGTCAGGAGCGAGTCTCCTGGAGTCCGGGCCCATTTTTTCCTCACCGTCCTGTGACCTTGAACGGGTCAGCTTTCTGTACCCCAGTTTCACACTCCTATGAAGGGGGACTGGTGATTTAGTTTTTCCTCTCCCACCACCCACCCACTTGTACATGCCTGTTCCTCCAGAAGCAATTCTTGTGAGGGCAGCAGCGGGTGAAAATGGCTGGAATATGGGAGTTAGTTTTATCACATCCACCTCTGTATTAGCACAGGTGAGACATGTGGCCAAACTAGACACCCGTGACAGAGAGAGGGCTAGGTGGGGATTGGCCACAGGCCACAGGCAGCTTTGGGGAAGACCACACATTCTCCTCTGTTCTCTGGGCAGCCTGCTGTGCATGTCTGCGATGACGTTAGCATCTACCCCACCTCCACGCACCTCCTCCAAAGCTGCAGGGCAAGCATGTCAAACTCGCAGCCCGAGGGCCACATGCCTCTTTATTTGGCCTGTGTTCGCCTTTGAGTTTGACATGCTTGCTGTAGGGAGTCCTGAGGTCAACAAAGAAGGGATGGGGACCCTGTCTTAACACCGGTCAACCGCCTGCCTCTACTTTGATCCCTGGAAATAGACCAAACTCCTGGTTCCCCCAGTTTATCTGTTTGCTTTTCAAGTTGTGGGTTTCCCTTGGCTGCATTTGAATACCCTCGACCCTTCCCTCCAGGGATGAAGCTGGAGTGTGTGGCTCCCCTCAGGGCAGGGAGGCTGAGCCTAGGCTCCAACATGGGTCTGACAGGCTCTGTGAGGTGGGCTGTCCACACACTCTCCCTGGTTCTCGAGTTTGTAGCAGGTCCTGAGAAGGAAGACAGCTCTGCTGGCCCAGTGCCTTCCTGCTCTCGCCCCTCTCCTGCCTTCCTTCCCTCTCCTTGCTGAGTTTGCTTTTGTTTCCCAGTAGCCAGGAAAGGAGGAGCGTTCATCCACACAGGCTGACGCTCCCACCCCCGGAGCTGTGGGCCCCCGAGACTTTACTCTTCTTCTCGCCTTGGCTTCTTCCTGCAAACACAACGAACAAAAAGGCCAGAGAAGACCACGGACTCTGTCACGCCCCCAGCTCCCCAGAAGAGACCCCTGACGCCAGACACCCTCAGATGCCATTACGCCCAAAGGGGATTGATTGCTTCGGACACCCTCTTATCTTCACACTCACTGCTTGGGCAGCCACCTCTTAGATTTCTGTCTCCTTTCCTGACACTTGCCGACATGCTCATGTCCTCCCAAGCCAGGGGATTAGGGCTGACCCAAACTTTAAAAGAAAACAAGGGAAATGAACTAATTGGAATCCAGTGGTATTGGGCTTTTGTTTTTATTTTGTAAAGGTAACGCCTTCTTATAAACTCCGTTTTTTCAGATGACTGGTTAGTTCTCTTTGTTTTCTCTTGGCTGCAGTCTGGAGCTGTACATTGTAAAATATCCAAAGATGCCGAGTACTGTATGTTCAAGGAGAACCTGAAGTGAATGGGTTGTGGGGCAGGGGGTTGTTTGGTTTGGTTTCCCTTTTATTTTTTTATTTTTGGATGTTCCGATTTCCCTGTCTGTCTGTGGGAGAACTTTGGGATTTTTTCTATTTATAACTCTTTTTTTTTTATGTGATTGCTTTATGTAAAATGACTCTCAACAAAGTTTGCCTTAGTGATTCAAGGGACAATCTTCCGTAACGTTGGTCGCACGCCGCATCCCTCCGAGAAAACTCTCAGCTACTTTTCTGGCCTATTTATTAAACAGTATTCATTGACTTGATTAAATTATATTGAGAGGTGACAGCAACAAGCCAATCTGTAGACGTTCGTGGCTTAAGGTTTTGACGATCGGGTGTCATAAACTTGCAATAATGTCAAAGACACCTTTCCAACACAGCACAACCCTTGGCCCTTATTTAATCGTTTGGAGGGCAGTGTTTTGAGGGAAAGAAAGCTACACCTGCTCAATGCCCTGGTGAACGTGGGCGCCCCCTGCCCATTCTCATGTTGGTTGCCAGTGGGTGGTTGACTGATGGGGAGGCCAGCACTCAGTTCTTTAATGGTCTCCTGCATTTCAGCTTTGTGAGCCACTGTTTGATCATAAGCTTTTGGACATCTGGGAGCCTGAGTGTGAGAGGTGTGTGTGTGTGTGTGTGTGTGTGTGTGTGTACGCATATACACACATGTGCAGATACAGCCTGTGGTGTGTGAGCAAGAGAACATCGAAGTGTTGCTGACCATTTTAACGCAACCAGTCCTACTGGCTCCCTGGTGTGGCGTCCAAGGGGTCTGCGGGTGGCCCTGCTACCTGGGCCTCCTTCCTCGCGTTCCCTGGCACTGGAGTTGGACTTCTCTTTTCACCTGAGCCTTTTCCCCAAAGAGGGACTGCTGGATCCAGAAAGAGGTAAGGAAATACACTCTGCCCTTAATGGGGTCAGCTCTACTCAGAACCCAGAGCACAGATTCTGAATGAAACTGTCCTTTGAACTGCATTTTCCGGAAAACCAAAGCCAGCCCGGAGCCCCTTTTCTGTGCCACTCCCCTTGCTTGCCATAGTAAGCGCTCCTATAAGCCTAGCGCAACGCTTCTTGGTACAGAGGAAAGGGCAAGCCTGGGCTTCAAATCCAGACCCCTCTGAGCTGTGCGTCCTCAGGTTAATTACTTCTCTACTCTGGTCTTGACTCCCCTCTCCTCTAATGAAAAGGAGGTTGAGTACATCAGTGTTTCTCCAAGTTCTCTACCCAAACACCCCTCAGCAGAGGGAACCAGCCCATTGGGGGACGGGCACTGGGGACTGAACCCTAAAGAAAGAGCCCTGAGTAACCTTTGCATGGTGTAAAAGTCCTCTGAAGTCTCATGGTTTGGCTCTGGCCCAGGGCTTGCCCTTCCAGAGGAGCGGGCAGGGCCTCGGAAGGTGTCCACCTGCAGGGCCACATCCCGACAAGCATTTTCTCCCACACTTTCCTTCTCTCCTGGGACCCTGCCAGCTCTTCCTCCCGGAGGTCCTCTGAGCTACTGCGGTGCGTATTTCCAGAAGCAGCACCACTGGGTGCCCCCCCCCACCCCCCACTGTGTGCACCCTCCCTTCTGAAAGCTGGGGGAGTTGGGGTTTCTAAGGGAAAGAGAGAGGGCAGGCCAGGGAGGCCTTGTCTGCCATAGGCCCCTCCTCTGCAGAGTCTGTCCTTCCCAGGAGCAGCCAGGGAGGAGGCCCTACAGGAGGGAAAAGCAACCTACACACAGAGGCCCTCCAGGGACCTGACAGATTCTGAAGTCAAGCATGTTACTATCCAGCGGGCCCACCTCCCGACCCCCCAGTGCACTCCTCTCTCCTCCGGGTGCCCCTTCCTACCCCAGCTGCCCTTCAGGATGTAGGTTCCCTCCCCTCTCTGCCCTCCCCTCTGTTCCAACCCTGACCAGAGCCACCCAGGGTGCACGCGACTCACGGGCTCCCTCTCCTGACCTCAGCAGCCCCTGTGCCTCCTCCAGGCTGGAAAGAAACACCCTGAGCCAAGCGATGTCAGGCCTCAGGAGCAAATTGGGTGGCTAATTTGGACAGCTGGCCTTGAAATCAGACCAGGGGGCAGTTACCAGCCAGCCTGGGCCTCCTGCTCCCTCACCTCCCTCCCTCGCCCCACCCCTCCGATCCCAGATGCAGGAGGCCTATAGCCTCCTTCCCTCCCTTCAGGTTTGCAGTGCCGAGGACGGAGTCAAACATGCATTTCCAGGAATTGATGGGGAGAGGATTCCCTGGGGAGGCCCCACTCATTTTCCCTCCTTGCTACATCCTGGGCAGAGGCGCGGTGACCTTGGTCGGTAGCACCCGCATGGCCTAAGCCAAAAAATATGGGTCCAGAAATGGCCTCACAAATAAGGACAAGACATCTCAAATCGGACAACCCTGGAAAACCTGAAAACTGATCACTTTACCTGCAGCCAGACATGCACACACACTTACATACACACATGCACACACGTGCACACACACAATCATCAGACAAATGATACACAGGCTGATGTCATCCTCCTTGTAACAATAGCAGACATGGCAGTGCATGGACAAGACCCGGCAAAGCCATCTTCCCCACGGGTCTCCCTGCTGGAATATTTATAACGCACACTCTCACTTTCATCCCTGTGGTTCCCCTATTGAACCATGAACTCTGGCCCTGACAACAGAAGCAAATGAATAAACAAATCATTTTCTGGAATAAGGAAGGAAGAGAGAGTGAATCAGACCCCTTTCTGGTGTTCCTCTAAAAATTAACCAATTAAGCACAAACTCTTCGAGTAACGTAAGTGCCTTCTCGGCGGATTTGGAGTCCATTGACCAGTTGGATTTAGCCCCAGGAAGCACACACCATAAATACATGTCCCTGTTTGTATCAGTCAGAGTTTCGTCAAACACCAGAACCCACTCTAAGCAGCTAGAGTAGCAAAGGCGTTTATTATAGAGAACTAAGTCTCTCGCAGAATTCCCACCAGGGGCAAAGAGCCAGGCCTGCAGGGCCACCAGATCAGCTGTGCAGGTTGCGTACTGCACAATAGTGGCACCGTTGAGGGGTGCCCTTCACACCCTACACTGATTTGTACATTTTTTACAATATACATTAGATCTGTATATCATAGCAACTTCCCAGCAGATGGCAGTAATGTGTCTAGAAGGGGTTCCCTGGTCTAATTTTGCACAAAGTCCATGGCCTGGAAGCGAGGACGCAGGGAGAACCCCACAGGGCAGCATCAGACTGCTCCTACAGAGATGCGATTGCTGCTGCTGCTGCCAGGCACAGACCCCACGCTCACCCCACTAACACTGCGACTCTACTCTTCTCCCCAGAAAACAGATTTCACGTGTCTGGACTTGCATTGCTGGGTGCTGGGTGCTGGTGCATCTGATTGGGAAAGC